TGTACGTACCAGTCAAAGTGGTCCTGGAAACCCCCCAGGCCCTGCACAGAACTCAGGTACTGGTACAGGTCTCTCTCTCCTTCCCGAGACGACACTCGCTCCCCCCCCCGGCTCAGGACCGTCGTCCTCTTGCTGCAGCGGATCTTGCCTGGAGTCAAATTCACACTCAGCTGAGCCGAGGGCGACGTAAAGAGTCAAGATTAGTTAGAAAGATGGATCAGAAATTATGAGTCATATTAGTTTTCTCAGATTTGAAATTTAAACGTTTTGTTCCGACTACACAACAAAAACAGGTTTATAAATCTCTATTTTAACATTAAAACTAAACAGAAACTTCAGGATACAGATTTGAAAAATACTAAATAGTGACAAAGAAAACTGGGCTCTTATGGTTTTGTTGCTGAAAGAAAATTTATTTAATGAGACTTCTATTGCACTGGTTTGTTATCTGGGTGTCCAAACAAGTCTTTAAAACGTCTTCAGTTGATCCAAAATGCTGCTGCCAGAGTCTTAACTGGAGTTACTGGGAGAGCTCATATCTCTCCAGTTTTAGCTTCTCTCCACTGGCTCTCTGTTAAATCCAGAATTGAATTCAAAATCTTACTTCTAACCTACAAAGCAATCAACAACCTAGCTCCATCTTATATTACAGATCTTATTGTTCCATATTTTCCTAAAAGAACATGTCACTCTCAGACTGCAGGTTTACTTGTGGTTCCTAGAGTTTCCAAAAGCAGAACGTGAGGAAGGTCTTTCAGTTCTCAGGCTCCTCTCTTGTGGAACCAACTTCCAGTTTCTGTCCGTGAGGCTGACACATGGTCCAGTTTTAAGACTTTCCTTTGTGATAAATCCTATAGTTATGGTTGGCTTGGGTTTCCTAAGCTATCCCTTAGTTATGCTGCTATAGGCTTGAGTGCTGGAGGACAAATTGACCACATGTCCTCTCTCTGCTGACGTCTTTACTTGCTCTACTCTTCCGGTTTGGATTTGTAATTATTTGTCTTGACGTGTTTTTGTTTTTCCTCCTATAGAAAGTTCACCTGGACCTGTCATTTTGTGTCCGTTTCTACTTCCTGTCCTCTCAAACCCAGCCGGTTGACGCAGACACCTCATCCTCATCCTGAGACTGGCTCTGCTGGAGATTTCATCCTGTTTAAAGGGAGTTTTTCTTTCCACCGTCTCCTTTGTGCTCGCTCAGGATGGGCGACTGTGATGAAGTGAAGCTTCAACACAACCTGCTGCTTCTTTAGACAGAGAACTTTTACGAATCGTCTTTTTTTGTACGTGAATGTTCCCGTTCAGTGTCCTGAGACGACTTCTGTTGTGACTTTGCGCTGAATAAATAAAAACTGAATTGAATTAGCTGAACATCTCCAACTGATTTACTTCTGGAATCAAGATGATTCAAGATGGCTGCCACTAACCAACCATAGAAAACACAAAAATATCTATGCCCGAGTCAGTTTTACAGATATTAAGCTAAACATTAAAGAGGTAGAAGCTCAGAATCTGTTGAAGCTCCATCACAGAAAGATGTCCCCCGTCGCTCAAGGATTTGACCGGTGAATGTTTGTAGTTTTCGGGACGAGCGTGTTTCTGGACTGGAATTGAACAGAGAGCGCAAGTAAATTACTGTCGTATGATTTCATGGGTTTTTTCTCTTCACTGGTGAGGAATGTTATTTTCTGCAGCAGTTTAAAACCTTTGACTCGAGCTGAAGAACAAGCCGATGCTTTAAATGTGTTCATTTCTCAGGTGACCATGTTTAAAAAACTGCCCCAGGACATTTTAATTGTTGCACTCTGGGGGGGTCAATTTTGTGCACAGAAAAAGTCGCTGATGAGGATAAACAGATGGCAGTTTCATCATAGCTTGTAACTGATTCCCCCCCCCCCCCCCCCCCCCCCGGCCTGCTCTTTGTGTCTCAGCACGCAGCAGGTGAGCAGCACCTGACAGAAGAACGCTAACCGGGTCTGACAGATTCACCTGTGGACATCTCTTTCACCCTTCCATCACATAACCCACCTCCTCAATCCATCCATTACCAACACAGTCACTCTTCAGAATCAATGCGTTCCACTCCAGCAGACTAACAAGGGTGACACCCTGTGGGGGAGGAGAGAGGGAGGCGCAGAAATCTGAGCTTACATTTAGCCTCTTGGCAAAATACCCAGAAGACTTTTGACTAAAATTTATTTGTCTTGAAAATATTCTGTTGTAATGAAGAAAAACAAACCAGGCTCCACTACTACTGATACTACTAATACTACTAATACTACTGATACTACTAATACTACTAATACTACTGATACTACTAATACTGAAGACCCGTTAAGAGTAAAAACAACATGGGGCATCACCCTCCTCAGCCTCCCTGCTAAGGTCTATTCAGGGGTACTGGAGAAGCGAGTCAGAGCGTTGGTCGAACCTCAGATCCAAGAGGAACAACCATCCTGGCTGTGGAACACTGGACCAGCTCTTTACCCTCACTAGGGTCCTCGAGGGGTCGTGGGAGTTTGCCCCTCCAGTCTACATGAGTTTTGTGGACTTTTAGAAGGCACTCGACTGTGTTCTTCGGGGTACACTGTGGGGGGGGGTGCTCCACGAGTATGGGATTGGGGGCTCGTTGTTACGGGCTGTTTGGTCCCGACACAAGCGGTGCGAGAGTTTGGTTCTCATTGCTGGCAGTAAGTCGGACCCCTTCAGGGTACGAGTTGGACTCTGCCAGGCTGCCGTTGGCACAGATGCTGTTCATAAATTTTACGGACAGAATTTGCGGAGGGAGTCCGGTTCAGTGGCCTCAGGATTCCAGCTCTGCTCTTTGCAGATGATGTGGTCCTGCTGGCGTCATCGTGCCGTGATCTTCGGCTCTCACTGGAGCGGTTCGCAGCCGAGTGTGAAGTGACTGAGATGAGAATCTCCTGAGCCCTGTGGGTGTTAAAGTGCTCTATAAATACAGCTTGTATGGTAGAATCAGCACCTTCAAATCTGAGGCCATGGTCCTCGGTCAGAAAAGGTTGTTCTCTTCAGGTCCAAGGTGAGGTTCTGTCTCGTGGAGGAGTTCAAGTATCTCTGGGTTTTGTTCACGAGTGAGGGAAGAATGGAGCGTGAGATTGACTGATGGATTGGTGCAGCATCTGTAGTATTGTGGACTCTGAACTCTGTGCTGGTCTGTTGTGGTGAAGAGGGAGCCGAGTTGTAAGGAGAAGCTCTCCGTTACCGGTCGGTCTACGTTCCTCCCCTCGCCTCTGGTCACGAGCTCTGGGTAGTGACTGAAAGAACAAGATCGTGGATACAGGTGGATGAAATGAGTTTCCTCTGCAGGGCAGCTGGACTCTCCCTTAGAGATACGATGAGAAGTTCAGTTATCAGGAGAAACTCGGAGTAGAACCGCTGCTCCTCCACATCGAGAGGAGCCAGTTGAGGAGGTTCAGGCATCTGGTAGATGCTTCCTGGGCACCTCCCTAGGGAGGTGCTTTGGACATGACCGACTGGGAGGAGACCCCAGGGAAGACTCAGGACACACTGGAGAGACTACGTCTCTCTCAGGTGGCCTGGGAACATCTTGGGGTCCTCCCAGAAGAGCTGGAAGAGGTGATTGTGGAAAGAGATGTCTGGACCTCCTGCTCAAACTGCTGCCCCCGAGACCTGACTTAAGAACAAGAGGAAGATGATGGATGGATGGATGGATGGAACAAATATGTTAATATATTTTTACGTCCCATTGTTTTGCTGCCCACATATTCTACATGAAAAGTAAATACATTTTTTTTCAAACATCACATTTAAATGCAAGTTCAAACGTGATTGTTTGAAAGGAACCATGGGTATAATTCTCATCTCTGGGTTTGATCAAAGGGATCCTGTAACTTTCTTGGTTTATTTTGGCAAAAAGCAGCAACAAGTCCCGCAAAGTCTGACGAACAAAGCTGAAGCTAACAAGACAAGCTGCTCATCTCCGTTACAGCTTTCATTTCTAACCGACTAATGTCGAGTCAGATTTCTTCCCAGAAAACGTGGCTGTTCATTTGAGGCACAGAAAATCACTGGGATGTGTTTGTACACTCGTCAGAAACTCACTACTGTATTTTAATATAAACGTGCCCGGGGTACCTTCAGCTCGGGCAGATCTGGGAACAGTGGGTGAGCCCCGTCGTTCACCGCTCGGGACACGGCTCTCAGCACGCGAGGCAGGTCGGTTCCGAACGTGCGGAACACGACGGCAAACTCCCGGCCTTCCTGCGTCAGGTCTCTGAGCAGCTGGAAGAAAGAAGGCAGGATCCAGTGGTACAGCCGTCCGTCCTCTCCTTTCACAGACAGATCTCTGTCTCCCTGAAAGAAACCGAGTCACGAAACGGTTTCTAAGTTAGGCTCGATCTTCCATTTCAGCATTTTTTTTTTTTTTCTGCAATAAGCAGAAAATTTCACAGGAAATGCAATTTGTCTAGTTGCTGTTGGATGAAATCTGTGATTAAATCTAGCGGTCCAGGTATCGGCTGTCAGAGCGATCTTCTAAATGTACGTCTGCACCCCTTTTAGTACTGACGGAGTAAAACAAATAAACTGTGAAAAGAAACGTTTTATTGTATTTGCTAAAAAATGAACATATTGGTTAAACAGACAAAGGGAACAAACAGCCACTGGTTGGGACGGTTGTGAGCACAACACGGAAAAACCACAAAGATGAAATCGGATAATCAATAATTTGGTCTGAAGTCGTCTGATCGGCGTCTGCGTCATTGAAGTAAAGAACACCTTACTGACAGTAACTGTTGAGTTATTACAACTCGTGTCTTTCAGCAGGTTTCTAACTTCACATGCAGCAACAGCTGAACGCTCACGGTGACTAAACGCTCACACAGACAGTTCTTTAACGCTCAAACCAAGTGGGAGAAAAGTATCACGGTCTCAGTGAACAAGCATGAAAGAACCGCACAGAGACGCTGCAGAATCTGACGAGAGGATCAGAGACGAGTTTCTCTCAGGGCTCTCTGCAGATTTCACTCATCACTTGCCTTAGTGCCCTCGGGCCAACGGAGCAGTTCCAGATGCTCTTCCAAAACCCCTTTGAAGCGTCGCCCAGCAACGGAGGTGAAACCTGGAGTTCGTCCAAACTGAGCGTAGTAACTGACGGCGTCGCTGCTGGGGGGGTGCAGGGAGGCGGCGTCACTCAGCCATTCCCATTTACCTGTAAGGAAACTGGTCGGTGAACCGCGGCGTCAAACGGCGTCTGAGTTCAAAGCTTCTCTGGAAAAGAACCAGCGAGTTGGTGGAAAACGAGCAGAAGGTGGAACATGAGTGATTACCGTAATGTCCGGTGTAAAAGCCGCTACTTTTTTCTCACACTTAGGACTCTGTTTATACACAGGAGTGGCTAATTTATGTATTTATTTCATTTTATATTATTTTGACAGGCTGCCAAGCTTCCTGCTGCCAAATATTATTTTCCTTTGACACACCTGGGCTCTCCAACAACTAGGCCTGTCATGATAAACTACAAATCAATTAATCGCGTGATGAATGAAAATTAACGACCTCATTTTCATTTATCGGCTTTATCGTTTCGTCGCGTTTCTCTTTCTATTGAAGACACTGGACGAAAAGACTCCGGTGCTCTTCACTGACCCCTCCCTTTCTCTTTAAAATCTGTTTTAACCGTCCAAAATTGCGTTTTTGTATTGTTAAAAGCAGCTAAGCTGAGAAGCTAAGCTAACAGGCCGACTTCAGGAATAAACCTACGTCTTGTCGAAGCTCCAAAATTCACGGTTGAAACTCGCGCCTTCGTCTAAAAAGTTGTTTTTCTCTGCAAAAAGAAGCCGAGAACTTGTTTACTGATTTTTTTATTAAAAGCTTTGTGTGGAAAATGCTAAAGAGCTCAAATCACCGAGCGTCTGCCCTGTCACCATGTCACATCAAGGGCCCTTCTCCCCATTTTTCTTAAAGAGTCACGCTGCTCAACTTTTCGTTAAACCGTCTTATACTGCCATCAGATGGACAAAAAAGGTACTACACGTCAAACAAATCAATATTTATTCTAAAATTAGACAATTAATTCCAAACAATATTATCGTTTATCGTAATATTTTCTGAGACAATTAATCGCCCAGCAAAATTTGTTATCGAGACAGGCCTACCAACAACCCCCACCCCCTTGGGGGCGGGTTTTTGTGACATCGCTCATGGTTCAAATTTTGCTACTAAATACCCATAATCCCACTCTGTAGCCATGTGACCAGAAGTCACCCCAGTGACCAATGAGGTACCATACTCTCTCACACACACACACACACAAGACAGACGTGCATTTTCCTGTTTAAAAATCTGCTTGTTTGGATCTTCTTTCATTTTATTTTTTATTGAAGTCTCAAAGATTTTAAATAAAAAAGTAATTTGGGTTGATGGCCTGGTCATCCTGATCTTACAGACGACGCAGGCGATTCCTGTTTTAAAGCTTTAAAAACACTTCTCCATCCTCGCCTCAATGATACGAGGCGTTTTCAGGTAGTCTCATTTAGAAACGTGCGTCAACTCAAACCGATCAATAAAACATTTTAGGATTAATTAATTTGCTAGAAAGCTACAACTTTTCTGCAACAACAAAAGACGATCGGACAGATTTTGTGCTGGTCCACCGGCACAAATATTACGAGCTGAAAAGAAAAAAGAACGCTTTCAAAAGTAAAAAACGAACTGAAAGGGTGAGATAATTATGGTTTGAAGTTTGTAAATGAACACAGATGGACGCCTGGTGTGTTTCAGAAACAAAGAAGATACAGTTTGATTAGATTATACAGACGACGGGAAAGAAAGTGAGGAAAACATGTTTTTTTTTTTAGGAATCATAATGTAGTACTTTAATTCCACAGCAGATAAAGCTATGTGGTCTCTGTAGGTCTAGGGAAAAAAATAAATATATCGGTATTGGTATCGGCCAAATAAGTTTTGACATATCGACATATCGGATATTGGCCAAAAATCTAATATTGTGCATCCCTAGCCTACAATGTTTGACTGTCCTCTGTTTTGTTTTTTAATAGTATCACACTTCACAAGTTTTTCTCAAACCCCAGCGGGTCGACGCAGACGGCTGCTCGTCCTGAGCCTGGTTCTGCTGGAGGTCTCTTCCTGTTTAAATTGAGTTTTTCCTTTCCACCGTCTCCTTTGTGCCTGCTCAGGATGGTTCAACACAATCTGCTGGCTCCCTTATAAATATAACTTTTACAAATTGGCTTTTTTATGTATGTGCACGTTTCTGTATGGAGCGACTTAACGTTTTATGGCTTAACTTACTTAAATTTATATTTAATAATGACAATGTAATTTTATTTATATAACATATTAAAACAACAGTGCTGACAAAAGTGTTTCACAACGAGGTTAACAAAAAAAAAAACGTCAATAAAATATATTTAACACTCACACATAAAAGCCAACAGCTACAACAAAATAGACATAAAACTAAAAACGCCACAACCTCGAAGAACTACAGTGATGCGTTCACAACCTTTAAGAACTACAGTGATGCGTTCACGGACACAAATACCGCCACCATGCTCAAACTAATTTCAATATTTAAAATAATAAAAACCTCAGCAAGTGATAATCAATGGCTTGCTGAAGTCTACTGTCATGTTTCTAATGAGGTCACACCGACAGCTTTCCAAACAAATGCTGCGAGAACCGCTACAAGATGAAACCACCGTTCCTGCTCCGGTTTACCGTGTTTGTTCTTCTTCCCCCACGTGACACCGGTGAGGAAGGAGTCCAAAGCAGCCACGGTCCCCTGACCCGTCACAGCGTCCGACACCAGGATGGTGTTGTTCAGGTCGATGTGAAGAACCAACTTCTTCCCTCGAGTGTAATCCGTGGACCCCAGAGGAAGAGGGACTGACTCAGCAGCCGGGTCATCTGCTGTCCCGAACCCCGGCTCCGAATCATCTCTGCTGGCGGTTCCGTTTTGTTCCCCAGCCATGGACGATGCGCTAAAGACGAAAGCTTTACTGCTAAAACTTTCTGACCGGCCGAGCCATGAGTTTAAAAGGGCGGCGTTTGGATCATCGACTCAAAGCCGGTACTTCCTCGTTCCGTCTTCTTCTTCCGCTCAGACGGTTGAGCTGACGGAAACAGCGCCACCTGCCGGCGACTGGCCGCTTCCACATGCAGGTTTTCTATTTCCTCACTACTGTTAAAATAAAATAAAAAGAAAGTATGTTTTTAATCAAAATGAATGAGGTAGGGAATAAAAAAACAAAATCTTTGTCATTATTAGTGTGCACAAATGAGGAGTAATACTATTTAATTTCATGTCAAAACCAACGCTCCTGTTTTTAGTATTTTACACAGCTTTATAATAGCTTTTTGTGTTTTGCTTTTATTTCACTTCCTCTATTTTCATTTTATATGCTTTTCATATGACTGTTATTGTTTGTACCTCGTGTTCTTTGTTTAAAACAAGTCTTGTAAATGAGTCCACGTGGCACAATGAGACTAACCTGTATAAATAAAGGTTGAATGATTTAAAGGATAGGTTCAGATGATGTAATCTGTACTCCTTCACAGTTGATTTTTTGAGGATAATCAGCCCAGATCTTTTCATAAACTTATCTGGAAAGAGAGGTGAATTTTTCTAAATACCTTAAATCACACTAACAACTTTTATTTGGTGAAATGTTACAAAGCAATATTAATTTCTTAAACTACAATTAGTCATAAACACAACTAAACAGTTGTTTGACATCATCAGCACTTCTAAGCTCATGAAAAGGACAAGAACATAAACTATAACCAATGACCTAAAAAGTTTAGTAAATTCTTTGAAAGGTTGAAAGCATTAATGTTTAATATTCTGTTATAATTGAACAAACCATTTCAGCATAAATGTGTACTTTATTATTAGCAAACTAGTGCACTTAAGATTTAAGAAGCGCTTGTATCAAAAGCTGAGATCCAGCTTCGTTCTGTGGAAATAAAGTGCTGTATATTTCAACTTTCCCACTTAAACATTTGGATACCATCTCCTCGTTTAGTCAAGACAGTAATAACATGCAAATATAAAATGAGACAAAGGTAAAGTTAAAACTGCCCTTTGTTTAATTTATTTGTCCTTTAATTTAACCTGTTTTAGAAGTGACCAGAGGAAACTGCTGGTTTTTCTATCAGCAACTCTTCAACGTTCTTTATTTATATTACCCATTTATAATATCCACAGCAGCAACAATAATGAATCCCACTTAATATACGCAGTCCATGACAAAGAGAGAGAGGGATGAGACAAAACAGAAAAAAATAAAATAAAATAAGTTGAATATTTCAGAAGAGCTCGGGGTTGTTTTACAGAGGAAACAGCCTGAATCAACATGCAGTCATGCGTATTTCAGCTTATACTTCAGCTTTTTGACAATTGCATCCACAGGATCAAATACAGAAACAGTAGAAAAGAAGTCTGAAACAAAAGACTCGTTTAAGAAAGCGACACAACAAACAGCCTTTGCCCTCTGCCTTCAGGGAGGAAAGAAAACGTCAGCCGCCATCTTTTGTCCGATCCGACCGTGCTGCCGTTAAAACAAATAATTTACACACGTTTAAAGAAACACTAACAAACGTCTGCTCCTTCTTCCTGATATTCGACGGCAGCTTCAGGTTAAAGCTGAGCTTCATGTGGCTGCAGATTAATAAGAGCTGAGAGGATGAGAAGTGAAGTCGAGGATGAATTGGATATGTAGCTTAACGAGTACACTTGATGGATTTTAGTAGGTTACGGGTGCGACAGTCGATCTGACCTGAGTGCAGCCAAACCCTCTTTTTTTTTTTCAGGTTTCAGATGCTAACAAGTTCTTAGCTGCCGAGCAGCTTCCCTTTAGAGGACGCTGCTTTAGCACCGCTTCATCGTTAGTCCACCTCCTCCATGTTGCTGTAGGACGGAGCGGAGAGGTCTGCAGAGGGGGAAAAAAGGTCAGAGGGCACCTCGGGGGTCAGGGTAGGGGGTCCTTCGGGATCCAGGTCTGTCCCAAACAGTGACTGGCTGGAAGCCTGGAAAAGAAAACCAGCTTCAGTTTAGTTTTCTGCCACATTCAATCAGTTCGGAGAAAAAAAAAAAGTATTATAATTATGACAATACATGAAAAATATGGACAGAAGACTTTATTTTTTGCAAAGTTTTACATCTTAAAAAGCAGCATTCAGGGGCATAAACATTTATTTTCTCCAAGAGAATCAAAACTGTTTTTGAATACAGTACTTGTGTTCTCTCAATCCAAAAATATTACAAACAGAAATCATAACGTATACAAGTCAGGATCATTTTAAAAATATATTTAAACTTTAAAGTCGACCACACAAGATTTTATCCTTCGGTTCGGTCGAGTTAAGAACTCACTTCAATTTAAACTTTACTCATTTAAACAGCTTCCAGCACCGCAGCATGTCGCAAACTCCCTTACTGCTGTTGGTCGTTCTTGCAGCGCACGTTACTAAGAGCTTCAGTGCACGTGTCTGAATCAAGTATATCCAGTCTGACGGTGCTCGTGGATCTAAAGGTTTAAGGCAACGGGTCTTTCTAAACCGACTCACAACCAGACGAGCGTTACAAGTTCCCTGAGACCCAAACACACACACGGATAACCTGCACCACAGAAACAGGGCGGCTTAGAGACAGAAGCAAATGTTCAATATAATTCAATTAATGTTTAATTTTGTGGGTAATTTAATTTCATTTTTTTATATATATATTTCAATAAATATTAAAACACATACTAAACGAATCATCCAAATGGTTAAATTATTTAAAATAAAATTTAGATTATTTAAAACATTTTAAGCTCAACTGTTTTTATAAACATATTTTTAAATAAAAATTGAGCATTTTAGAGCAGCATGACAGCAAATAAAACTAGAACGTTCCTGGAGAGACTGTGACGGGGACTGCCACGCTGTGACCATTTTACATTTTTGATTGGACAGCGTTTTTTACGAGTGCTGGTCATAAAATGAGAATATCGTGATAATGTTGATTTATTTCAGTAATTCCATTCAAAAAGTGAAACTTGTGTATTATATTCATTCATTACACACAGACTGATGTATTTCAAATGTTTATTTCTTTTAATGTTGAGGATTATAACTGACAACTAATGAAAACCCCAAAATTCAGTGTCTCAGAAAATTAGAATATTAAAACCAATAAAAAAAGGATTTGTAGAAATGTTGGCCTACTTTAAAGTAAGAACATGAAGCGTATGTTCATGTACAGCACTCAGTATTTAGTTGTGGCTCATTTTGTCTGGATTACTGCAGCAGTGCAGCGTGGCATGGAGTCCATCAGTCTGTGACACTGCTCAGGTGGTATGAGAGCCCAGGTTGCTCTGATCGTGGCCTTCAGCTCTTCTGAATTGTTGGCTCTGGTGCATCACATCTTCCTCTTCACAATACCACATAGACTGTCTATGGTGTTCAGGTCAGGTGAGTTTGTTGACCAATTAAGAACAAGGATCATACCATGGTCCTTAAACCAGGTACTGGTAGCTTTGGTACTGTGTGAAGGTGCCAAGTCCTGTTGGATAATTAAATCTGCATCTCCATAAAGTTGGTCAGCAGCAGGAAGCAGGAAGTCTCTAAAATTTCCTGGTAGACGACTGCTTTGACCTTGGACCTCAGAAAACACAGTGGACCAACACCAGCAGATGACATGGACCCAAACCATCACAGACTGTGGAAACTTGACACTGGACCTCAAGCAACATGGATTCTGTGCCTCTCCTCTCTTCCTCCAGACTCTGGGACCTGGATTTCCAAAGGAAATGTAAACTTTACTTTCATCAGAGAACATAACATTGGACCACCCAGCAGCAGTCCCAGGTGAGATGCTTCTGATGCAGTCTCTTGTTCAAGAGTGGCTTGACACAAGGAATGTGACAGCTGAACCCCTTGTCTTGCATATGTCTGAGCGTGGTGGTTCTTGAAGCACCGACTCCAGCTGCAGTCCACTCTTTGTGAATTTCCCCCATACTTTGGAATGGGTTTTGTTTCACCATCCTCTCCAGGATGTGGTTATCCCTATTGCTTGTACACTTTTTTTTACCACATTGTTTCCTTCCCTTTGCCTCTCTATTAAAATGTGCTTGGACACAGAGCTCTGTGAACAGCCAGCCTCTTTAGCAATGACCTTTTGTGTCTTGCCCTCCTTGTGCAAGGTGTCAGTGGTCGTATTTTGGACAACTGTCAAGTCAGCAGTCTTCCCCATGATTGTGTAGCTACTAAACTAGACTGAGACCATTTAAAGGCCTTTGCAGGTGTTTTGAGTTATTAGCTGATTAGACTGTGGCACCAGGTGTCTTCAATATTGAACATTTTCACAATGTTCTGAGATGCTGAATTTGAGGTTTTCATTAGTAGTCAGTTATAGTCATCAACATTAAAATAAATAAACATTTGAAATATATCAGTCTGCGTGTAATGAATGAATATAATATACAAGTTTCACCTTTTGAATGAAATTACTGAAATAAATCAACTTTTTCATGATATTCTAATTTTATGACCAGCATCTGTATTTTGGTTTCAGTGAAGCCATCAATAAACTCGTCATGTTTCTGTAGGTTCAAACATGTCACTAGGAAAAAAAATATATAATTTTTACAAATACTAGATTTGTGTATGGCTTTAGGATATTAAAAATTAAACACAGGACAAAATCTCAAGTAACATTTCAATAAGACTGAGGCATAAGAAATAAAATACAAAAGATACATTTAAAGCTTTAACAGCAACACAATTCTTTCTGTGCAAAAGATTAAGGTAATAAGTCTTCTCAAAGGTGAAGTAGTGCCATAACTGCTATAAAGCGCTTATATATGTAAAGTCTAGTGCTGCAGTGAAGCACCAGTTTATTTTGTCCTCGTTTCTTTAAAAGAATGAGAATTAGTACTCAAAATATACACCTGCCTGATTTAAATCAAATCCAGTGGTTCCCAACCCTGGTCCCTGAGGAACACCATCCTGCATGTTTTAGTCGTTTCTCTGCTCCAACACACCTGATTCAGTGGTTTATTTACCTCCTTAAGTTCGGCAGAAGCCTGTTAATAATCCTTTCATTAAAATCAGGTGTGTTGGAGCAGAGGAACAACTAAAACATGCAGGATGGTGTTCCTCAGGGACCAGGGTTGGGAACCACTGACAATGGGCCGGCAGCTCCAGAACCTGCCTCTATATTCACATCCATTTGACTTTGGAAAGAAGAGGGTAGATTAAATTAACAAAGAGAGCCAGAACTGCAGTCAGCGTGCCCAGAACAACGTATCGCACACAGTCCTCGTCAGGATAGTCCGACATCTTCTGCCTGCGGTGCCATCGCACCGAACCCTCCGCTCGGTCTGCCTCTGTCCTGTTTCTCTGCGTTTGTCGCCTCCGCAGCGCAGAGTGGAACAGTCCATGAGGCCCTTCCTCGTCAAGCCCCTCTTCCTCCTCCAATTCCCGCCATATTAGGGAGGCCTGCGATTGGCGGAAACCGGGGTAAGCTTCTGGGAAAAGGCGTGGTCTAACAAACACTAAGATTACAGTTTGAAACTCACACTCCTGAACCAGCTGAGTGGGAGCTAACAGCATGCAGTAACTGCTTCCAATGAATCTTTGAGGAACATTAATTACTCAAGAATAAAAATAATAAAAACATGTTGAGACTTAGACAAAAGCTCGAGTTAAAATTGGCCATTTTACTATGAAAACAATGCGGTTTTCACGTTACACCTTAAATGTGGAAGGGAAAATGTCAAGACCCAAAACAGCATGTCTTTTATGAAAATAATCCCAACGGAGCCGTCATAAAATGGTGCGGCGTTTTGTTTGGCAGCTGCCATCAGGATATTCACAGCACTGCATCCGAACAAGCTTTCACCTGTTGGGCTTTTAAATATCCTATGAAAACAGCAAATACCCATGGAGGAGATCTAGAACGCCTCCCAGGCTTCAGGGATTGACAGCAGGACTGCACAATAATAGGAAAACACGGGATTGTCATAGTAGTATTGACAATATTAGCTGCGATAAACTAACATGTTGCCAACGCTGTGGGTGCACCGGCTGTGGGCGTTCAGAGGAGAGGACATCTGAAGACCAAATCTGAACTCGTCAGATTTCTGGAGTCCTTTACGTTTATCAAGATTGCACACACTGATGTTGTGGTAGATACATTTTGGATGTATTGTACAGCGCTGATAAACTGTCATGGCGAGAAACTCTTTATTATGTTAAGGAGAAATAAAACTTCTCGTGTACTGCTTTAAAGAAACACTACATTTGTTAAAACAGGCTAATAACAGATAATTTTACTCACTTAAAAAAAAAAAAAAGGAGAGAAAAATCTTGATGTCGTTCAAGATAACACGAGGTTTAATTTGTGAGCTTTGCAGAGCAGAGATTAAGAGACGACCTAATTCATTACAAACCCACGGAGCTATGTTTTATTACGGATTTGAGTAAACATAATTACTGGTAAATAAATAATAATGTGTGAATAGTAGACCTGACACGATAAATTTTGCTGGGCGATTAATTAACTAAGAAATTATTGCGATAAACGATAATATTGTTTGAAATTTGACAATAATTAATAATTATTGTCAAATTTAAGAAGAAATGTTGGTTAATTTTTGTGTGTAGTACCTTTTTTGACCACTGGATGGCAGTTTAAGACTGTTTGAACCACAGGATGGATAGTGAGGGAGCGAGCAGTGTGTCTCTTTAAGAAAAATGGGAGGGAGGCCCCTTGACGTGACATGGGCTGTCTCTCCTTCCTTTATTTTCAGTTCTCAAAATGGCCGTGAATTTTGGAGCTTCAAAAAGCCAGAGTTTTTTTCCTGAGGTCGGCCTGTTAGCTTAGCTCATAGCTTAGCTCCTCAGCTTAGCTACTTTTAACGATCTAAAAATGCAATTTTGGACGGTTAAATGGACTTTAAAGAGAAAGGGAGGGGTCAGTGAAGAGCACCGGAGTTGAGCCTTTTGTCATCCAGTGTCTTCAGTAGAGAGAGACACAAAGAAACGATAAAGCCGATAAATAAAAATGATGATGATAATTTTAATTTATCATGCGATTAACTGATTTATTGTTTATCGCGGCAGGCCTAGTTAATAGTGTATTCAGTTTCAAAAATATATGGCCAACTGCCTATAAAGGGATGAATCTTCAGATGGACTGTCCTAGAGTATTTTATTTTTACTAGCAAACAGTACTTTATTTATGGTAATACTACAGTAACACTACAGCCCAAACTACATCACCTCAACAGCCCTCGTTTAACGAGTACAGTTTGTACTTTTGTGTTCCACAGGCAGGTAAAATGTCAGGATGTACCAACAACACCTTGTGTTTGTGTCGCACGATTCCCTCACCTGGCTGGCAGTGGCTCCTGCAGCAGCGGGCAACTCGGCGCCGACAGGTCTGAGGAAGCGTGGCGGCCTCTCCACGGGGGAATTTCGCCGCCGGTAAAAAAGGACGTAAGCGTAACGCGTCACCACTTGACTTTCCTCGACCATAGTCACGGTGCTGTCATCGAACAGACGCCAGCCTTGAGGCAAGAGGAAGAGGATTAAAGCACGCAAACCTTCATGAAATGAAGAAGAACCAGACGGGCAGGGATCTCACCGACGTCACTGCGCTGGCTGTTCTTGTCACTCGGCAGGCGAGCGTAAGCTGTGTAGTGGCCTCCTATCATTCCTCCATAGTGGTTGATGACTGCGTACAAGTCATAAATTGGGGGTTGTTGCATCTCGTCCTTCTGGCCAATGCAGAACTTGCTTAGATCTAGATTTCTGAAAGTCAAGATCCGGAACATTTAAATGGGATTTAAAAGATATAAATCATATTTCACTTGTGAAAACCAAAAAATAAATATAAATAATTTTACAACCAACCAAAAGTAGAAAACCGGGATGATGAACTTTTAATGTCTGATTACCTGACGGGAAAGTCAACCATGTCGTTGATCTTGTCTCTCCAGATGAAGCTTCTGAAGGAGAAGCGCTTGAGCTGGATGATGAGGACGTTGGGCAGACGCCACAGCAGCAGCTGTTTGGAGGCCTCACGGTGCTGCTGGCACTTTGGACAGTACCTGAAGACACGACGGGTACATATTACAACCAAACAGCAAGTCTTCCTACACTGATACGAATATCCGACAGCGTCCAGCCACTTCAGTGCTTATTAAAAGACGAGCTGAGATTTTCACCAGAGATGCATCAGGTAGTTCATTTTGAAAAGATTAGCGCTGATAAAAGCTGCTGCTTCGTTCTTTTATCTGCAGACTCTTTCCACTCACTTCAATCCATAAAGGCAACATTCAAAAACACGTTACACTGGTAGAAGCACAAGGAGCCAAGCGTGCCGTTCTAACTGTGTAATGAGGATGCAGCAACTTCCTTACTGTAATTGTATCAAAATGTCCTGCTTCATATGTGATAAAAACCCAGACCCAGTTGCCTGAACATTTTCTCATGGCTGCCAATCTTTTATGTTGAAGAGGATTTAATCTAGGAACAAGAACAAACTTGTTTACCCCCGTTCCCTGATTTACTTGGTACAGAAACTCTTGAACTAATTACTGCGTTAACTAAATGTAGACTAAAATGTAAATGTAACCAAAGTGTAATTTTAGTCTACATTTAATAAACACTGTGTGGGTCACTACTCTTCTTTTTGATTCAGTAACTTTTTAAAGCAATAAAAAAATAAAAATAAAAATTCCTAAAGTTGATATATGAATTTTATCCATTTCAAATAATTTACTTTAAAAATGTTTTTCAATTCAATTCAAAAATACTTAAATACTTAATCCCAAAGGGAAATGAAATGCTGTAGCTCATCATCCTGGTTTCATTAAGAGTTGTTGTGGCAGCAGTCCGTCCCGCAGCGGATCTGAAGGAACAGGTTGAAGATGCCGACCCGTAAATTTGGACCCGGCGGGCCTCCTAATCCTCTTAGGTCAGTGGTTCCCAACACTGGTCCTTGAGGAACACCATCTTGCATGTTTTAATGGGTTACCTGCTCCAACACACCTGATTCAGTGATTTAATTACTTCATCAAGTTCTGCAGAAGCCCATTAATCACACATTAAATAAAATCAGGTGTGTCAAAGCAGGAAAAAACTGAAAAATACAGGATGGCGTTCCTCAAGGACCACAGTTGGGAACCCCTGTCCTTGGCAGCAGGACTGTCCAAATGCCGGGCAGAACTCCTCCAGGAGCAACGGCCACTCCTCCCAGTAGCCTGCTGAGCTCCTCATTGCTGTGGACAGCCAGCTGCAGGTGTCGGGGGACGATCCCAGTCCTCCCGCTGTCACGAGCCGCATTTCCTGTCAGCTCCTGGATCTCGGCCGTCAGGCACTCGAGCACAGCCAGCAGGGAGATGGGAATACATCCACGGTGCCTCCTTTTCAACTCATTTGGGATTTGGGGCTATAGTTGAGGTACGTGAGATTTTGAGGTGGTTGTAAAAACACCACCTAGTTGCCATGGCGCCACCTAGTTGCCATGGTTACGCAGCATAACAAATGTCCAAAAGTAAAAAGGTTTCAGTAAAAATCCTTAAAAAAAAGTAAAACGATTATTGGAAAATATAAAAACGTCAATTTATTTATTTTTTTTTTTAAGAAAGTGAATTCTTTTTTCTTCTGGCTTTAATTACCTTTAACTACTTTGCTTTACACGGGCACCTGTGATCCCCATGACTTGAAAAGGAAGAAGCAGGTAATGGATGGATGGATGGATGGATGGATGGATGGATGGATGGATGGATG